AATTTTCTGACGGATTTTGGCCATTTTTTGGCGAAAATGGCCGCCGGAAAATGACGTTTTTCCTGTAGTGTTTATGGCTCTGCCACTGCTCTTAAATTGGATTCATTCTCTAGTATTAGCTTGTTCCCTCTTGAATTTTTAGGCTTTGGCTTATTGCCCACCATTTTATTTTCGGCATTAATTTTGTAACTTAGATAGGTATCATGTGTTTTATAGGTTTTTTTTTCCTTTTTTGGATGTAGCTCTTTCAACTTTAGTAATCTTTAAGGACTTTATAATAATTTATTTTGATGATATAAAATTACCCTTAAAAAAATGCAAATGTTCATTAAAACAAAAAAAGTCGCAAAATCGATGGTTTTGAGGCCCAAAGTATATAATTTGTTCATGGAACTCCCTCTCATCCACTAATTTTCGTAAATGGACCATTAACAAATGTACGAGAGAATTAAAGCTGTTATTTATTTAACAGATATGATATAAATTCTTCACTGTCTTGCAACTGTAATCGCCAAACTCTAAATCAGATTCAGACAAACACAACTCATCAAAAGAAAATTAAAAAAAAAAAGGAAAAACTCAACCTATTTGCTTAGTCAAGTTCTAATAAACTCATTAGACTTAGAAATTTTACATATTATATAGAAATAGAAGCTAGCTTATAAATTAACAGCTCATATGAACAAGTCCAGGTTTGGTAAGTAAAACATTTTGTCAAATCATTTTGTATCTATTTTCTTGTAGAACTCCTTTGAATTAATGTCATCATATTCAATTATTATCACTTCCATAATCTGTATTAGCCATTAACGGTTTCGAGTAAGAACACGAAGCTGGTTCACTTAACTGTGAAGCAAGCAAATTATCCAAGACCTTCCAGTCAATCAATTGTTCTCCATTTTCATCCCTTCCACAATTCTTTTCTTCATCATAGCCAATGATACTAGTTTCAAAAGAATCCTTAGTCGCCAATCCTGATGATGGCAAGCCAGCGGGACTCTCAAGCTTTGGGATCTCAAAGACATTTTGGTTCTCCTTGTAAGTTTCATGGCTTCCAATTTCATGATTGTGTAATGATTCATAGTTATAGTTGTTTACTCCTGTATCTGTTTCCATTTGATTTATTTGATAATAGTCATGACTTTCTCTGAGGTAGTAGCTAGCATTGTATGTGCTTAAACATGGCCTCTGACTTGGACTTGGCTTTTTGAATGCCCGGCAGACTACCCATCCTTCCTCCTGCAATTCATAGAAAATTCATCGCATCATAAAAGTAATATAAAACTCCATAAATAGATTTGAACTCCTCATAATTATATAAAACTGATGAGGACAGTGAAAACTAATATTTCAACGCACTACAGGAAATTCGCTGTATATTGACGGTCATTTGACCGCCGGAAACTCTATCTAAACCGTTGGAAATTACTGTCGGAAAGGGCATCTCCAACCGAAAATCTCATTTTCACTCCAAAATGTCGTGAAACTAAAAAAATGTCATGATTCATCTCCAATCGAACTCCACTTTGCCCTCTTTTGCGAAGGTAATGATGGTTCTCTTCTTTCGCGTGTTTCTTCGGCAAGTTCGGTAGAGACATAAAAATGACGGAGATGAACAGTGCAACGCCAATATTGGCGTTCTACTGCTCACCCACAACCAAATAGCGGAAGTTCTACTGTTTGGCTGGAGCTCGCGAGTGATGCCATTCAAGCCTTTGGAATTCTGTTGGAGATGCCCTAATGGGTGATTTTCCTGTTGAAAATTAAGAAAAAATAATCGAGATTAATGGAGTTGATTAACTTGCCTGTGGAGGGCCTTGTTCAATCGAGTGGAGTCGGTACTCATGCATGATCCAATCGGTCTTCCTTCCATTTGGTGCTCGACCTTCATAAAACACAAGAGTCTTCCTCATCCCAATAACTTTAGACTTTGAAACCACAGCCTTATCTCTACCCGTTGCTTTCCAGAAGCCAGCATTTGTAGCTCTATTAGTGCGACTTCCACTGGGATACTTCCTGTCTTTATGACTAAAGAAGTACCATCCATCTTGTTCCTCACATCCAATCTTGCATATATCTATTTCAACAAATTAAACTAACGAGTTCTTATCACTTGTTTAGGGTTTTGATAATCTACATGAATAAAATAATAAGGTTTTGTTTGAACGGCTTTCTTGCTGCTTCTTAAAGTAATTTTTAAGTACAAAAAATAAAATTTTTAAGTAAAAAGCTGCTTTAAGAAGTAGTAAATAAGCCGTCACAAATGAAGCCTAAGTTTGAATTAATGCCTTAATCATTTTTTAGATAGTGAAATAAAGAAAAAAAAATTGTGCAAGAACTTAACATTCTGACTTTAAATGAATCAAAATGGACTTGAATGCCTTTGGATTTACGTTACGATTAGTGCTTATATATGATATCATGAACTGCACTTCTCTTAACATAAAATTTAATTACAATTTGAAAAATAGTGTGAAAATTCTCTTAAAAACTATTTGCAAAACTCATGCATGAAAAGAAAAATAATGAATTAAAAACTATTTACCTTGGAGCTCCCAGGGCTCAATTTTATACAAATCTATGTCTGTGATAACCTCTACATCAATTCTCTGAGAAGCAATTTTCCTTGTTAAATAGTAGCCCACAAGTTCTTCTTCAGTGGGGTGGAATCTAAACCCTGGTGGAACCCAAGACTCCACTTCCATTTGCTGGTTTCACCTATAAATAAATTGCCAATACAGCACCAGCAAAGTTAAATAGCTGTAGCTGTCCAAAGTGGGACCTTTAGAAGACTTCCAAGCACAACAATAGATCTTTGGAGATCTTAGAAATAATTCATTAGCTCATATAAATCACTGATCAAAATTTTAACCTAATTAGATTTTAAGATTATAATATTATAGTAATGAAAGTTTTAATCATTTATTTATTGCACTAATTATATAATAAATTTGATAGTTTTAAGAATCATTATGAATTTGATGATGAATATCATTATCAAAAAATTTTCATATAAATTCACAACCTTTCTTAAATAAAAAATTAGAACACTAATTACTTTCTAAAAAGGTGGTAATAATATTCCTTTTTCATGTTTTTCAACCCAGGTATTTATATGCATGAGAAATCCCTTCACTATGGCTTTGTTTGAAACGGTTTTCTTAGTGCTTCTTAAAGTAATTTTTTGTACGAAAAAGTTGCTTTAAGAAGCAGTAAGAAAGCCGTCCCAAATGAAGCCTATATTAGATATTTCATAAAAATCAGCAGAAATTTTTGACTTTGGTGGTGCAAGCATGCCCATGTAATCATGTTCCTTGGACTGCACAGCATGATCGAGTTGGAATAAATAAATTAGATGAAAAAGAAAGAGCCTTTGTGTGTGTTAAATTCAGTGTACAACTCCTTTTTCTTTTGCAGATATTTCATTTGTGCAATCTTATATCCCTTTTTTTCCATATATCAGAATATATCTACAAGCGTGTTTTCATGATTCAAACGTTCTGTAATTATTAGAACTTAAGCTTTTAACATGTAGAGAGATGAAGAATTAATGAAAAAAAAAAACCAAATTTTTAGATGAAATGTGCAAGAAAAAAACTAGCTGAGGATCTGTTTCATGCATTGAAATTCAGAATCTTTGCAGTTTCTGTTTGATGAACATGAAAGAACGTGAACAACAACTTATAACTCTCCCTATATATCATGCTTCTAATTCAAAAACAAATAACCAAAGCTTCTGCCACATGCATGAACTCACCGAATTTCTGATTCTTTATGTTCTTCAACCAAGGCGCGCGCGCACAGAGAGAGAGAGAGAGAGAGAGAGAGAGAGAGAGAGAGAGAGAGAGAGAGAGAGAGAGTTCTCTATAGATTCAATACTCTTCGAGGGACAACATTGTCAGGAATGTCCAATATATATATGGTGTAGGGATGTCGGATAAGCCATATATATATGAGATACTAAAGCAATATTGGATCAGCAAGGCTTATAGATGTTGGAGTTGATTTAGAGCCATATAAAGGGACAAATATAAATAGGAAGCACCGCCCTTAGAAATGTAATTAAGAAAAGGTTGGGGTGGTAGTAAAGCCATGATTGCGCGTGGGTTGAGGGTGGCAAGAAGAATAAAACAGAAGCTGAGAGGTAGAGAGAGTTGGACGGCGGGACAGCAGAATATTCTCACGCCACCGCCTCTTTCTCTCTCTCTCTCTCTTCCATCCTTTCACATCAACACATTCTCCTGCAACATTTTCTTTTACCAATATCATCATTTACGGTACACTCTAATGAAGACTTACTAGTGATTTATATCAATATGTAATGGTAATTTAATGTTTAGTAAATTATTGGGGCGGCGAATATATATAAAATTTATTATTGGAAGTGCACCATATAGGATTTATGCTGGTATTAGTAGGAGTAAGCAAAAATTCTTGATCCCCATCGCTACCACCGCCATCCATTCAAACCTGGTGAAGAGTATGTAAAAATTCTCGCCATCTATGTTTGTTCAAGGTGTCGTCATGGTCCATTGCCATTGATCGATGCTTAGGGCCCCAACATAGAAGGTGCGTGCAGTGTGCTGTGCGGAGTATGGACAGTAAGAACCGTCTGACATGTGAGTGTACATATTGTTTGTACACAGTGTGTGCACTCATAGTCCGCATGCATGATTCTTCCCGTCCGGACTTTACACGTACAGAATAATTTCTCCCAATATAGACATAGGTCATTGAGCGAGTGTTGTTCTTTGACACTCAATTGTTGACGATGACTAATTTTACAATAATATATATTAATGTTTCTTCCTTACCTTCTTTTCTTTGCATTTTTTTTAATAAAGTGAACAATATTTTTTCTCTCTTGTTGCATGTTTACAGATGAATTCTGTGGCAATATTTGCAGTAGATTTTTCTAAGAAAATTTTCAACTTGTGAGCTAGGCACATTGTGGTGGAATCGAGATTTTCTTATAATGTAGTGGTCAAAGCCCCACTATTTTTTGACTTTTTGATCTCAACTTATAGTAATGTTCTAAACTTGTAATTTTATTAATTCTTAAAATGAAATAAAAACCTATTGAGTTAAAGATCTCAATATACACATACACACGCATAGCTTTAATCCAAAATCTCAATAAGGGGCAACAAAAATCCAAAGCACGAACCATCAAAAAGGCCAATTAGGCACATTCTGCAAATTTCAAAACAAGCAACAACATACAAAGATCATAGAACATGATTAGACACATACCTTATAAGAATGACCCCAGATTAGCATAAGCGAATTATAGAAACAATAGAATAGCATAGGAGACCCATGAATATGCAAAATAATTAAAAGGCCAAACAAAAACCACCTACCACACGATATGCAGAGTCAATATAAAAGAAACACCAAACTACCAAGTCGTTAATATTGTTATACATTGTAGGAAGATTACACCCACAGACCACACATAAGATCCTAGCAATAAGCACCAATAAAACCCAAAGCAATAGACACCAAGAAAAAAAGGCCAATATCTAAAGAAGCCAAAAGACAATCATAGAAACCACATTTAAAATATGACTGGTAGGTATATGAGGAAACCAATAAAAAAGAAGAGAAGAACATGTAGTAGTAATATAGCTCAAATTTATCCCCAATGCATTATCCAAAAATTACTAAACATTAATAACAATTAGCCAATCCAAAAAAAAAAAACATGCTTAATAGTCTCATAGTAAAAATAACACTGACATTTGAAAGTAATGAAGAAACCTTTGTTCTTAAGCTTATCATATATCCATAGGGATCAAACCATTAAGAAGTCTCCAAGAGAAAGTGGATATGTTAGTGGGAATAACAGAGTTCCAAATTTTATGAAAAACAAAATTATATGGTGATTTTGATCTGAAGGAATCCCAAATAGATTTAATTAAAAATTCCCCATTAGCAAGTAACTTGTAAATTGGCTGATCAATATTGAAATATATAATGATAGGAATATCACAAATATTATCAACCACATAATTAGGAATGTAGTCTAAAAGAAGATTAAGATTCAATTGCCATTCAAATGAAATCACCAACTTTCAGCTTGTATAGTGAATCTGTATTAAATAGAAAATCAAGAGATCCATTCCGCATCCAGCCATCTTGCTAAAAATAAGAAGAGGCATACCCAATACCCCATTGAATCACCAAGACATTTAGCTTTACAAATTCTTGACTACCCAAGAGACTGACCCCTACTAAAAAAATATTAAGAGGGATGAATATTTTTGCAATATTTAAGGTGCATATAATTTGCCCATAAAAATTATTTTACTTTGAATTATATCTTTTCTAGGAATAAAAGAGTATTTCTTTTTATTAAAATTAAGACCACTTGCATTACTAAATTCAACGAGAAACTAAAAAATTTTCTTCACATTCTTAAGAGAAGCATTACAAAATATAATAATATCATCAGTAAACCACATATGAGAAATGAACCATACCACCAAGGTTAATATAAGCCAAGCTTTTGTATTTAGAAAAGATAACATGAAGATCTCTAGATAGGTACTCAGCCGCAATGACATGCAGAACAAGAGATAGAGGATCACCCTGTCTAACACCTTACGCAGCTTTAAAGAAACCATGAGATTTGCCATTGATAATAACAGAATACCCAACATTTTCAATAATGCCGCTAATCATAGCAACTTCAAAATTTCATTTATGATAAATAAAAAAATATGAGAAATTTTTTTTCTTCATTACAATAGTGCTATCATATGTATCTTTGTGTAGAGAACAAGTCATCTAACTAGAATTGTCTCCATAAAATACGCTTGGATTTCTAAATATATGTGAGGATAATGTTAACTGTAGCTTAGAACCAAAGACAACCATCTCTGCACACCAAAGCATGATATCTACACAAAAGAGCAGATGAAAAGCTTTCGAACTTTTTCAAAATTTATTAAGCTCATTAACATATCTAAAGGGTGCCTTGAGCTCTCTTCCCACATTGTTCTTCTACGCATGTGCCATGCTTTTCCTAAATATTTTAAACGAATAGTAAGTATATGATAGCCTGTACCTATTTCTAGCCATCATTAGCTTTAAGGGGCTCATTTGGTTCCAGCTTGGAATTTTGTTTTAGAAAATAGTTATTTTCATAGATTCAATGTTCGATTGAATGCATTAAAGAGTGAACAAAGACTTTTAAGGCTTGATTTGGGATAGCTTTCTTACTGCTTCTTAAAGTAACTTTTTATTAAAAAATTATTAAAAAGTTGTTTTAAGAAGCAGTATGAAAGCAGTCCCATACGAGAGGAATTATTCTATGCGAATACCGGAGCATTTGGATGCGAATAAGAATGCGCCATGTCATCCGGTACATGGCCGCGGTACAAAACAAAAAAGTGATATGGCGCATTCTGATTCGCCTCCGGACGACATCCGTATCCACACAGAATAATTTTACCCCAAACGAAACTTTAAACTCGACAAATCTCTTCATTTTCAGCAACAAAATGAGTAAAAATCAATTTCTCTTCTAAAATATGTTTTCATGTTCCATTTCAAACAAACAATTCATGAGCTATAAGTGTAATCTCTCTTGCCTGTATGATCAGTGGAGTTAAAAGCTCATAGTCTAAAGCTTGCAGCTGGAAAGGCTGAACATTCCCTTCTATTATAACAAAAGAAGAAGATGAGGCGCTCATATATC